AATTAACTGTGTCATACCTTTGAAATTAGTACGCTTTGTGACGTAAACATCGTTCTTTCTCAATGGAAAGCGAAACGGGAGTCTTTTTCGCACCTCGTACTCATTGTCATCGATTTCTCCAGCTGCGTACGCATCTTTCCCCTGTTTCGACGATTTTGAGGTTCCATCCATTTTGGTCGACCTTACCGCTTGATGTCCCATACACGCCAATCGCTGTTCATTTGAGCAAGACATGCGCTGATTAAGGTCAAAAGAACAGAAGACACATTCCCATCACTATGCAGCAAGCGGATATGTAAGGACTCAGCCTCTCCCCTGAAGAAGCGCCAATTAACAGAATTTTATGTTTCATAATCTGTTACCTATCCTGGCACACTTCCAAAACACTCCAACAAACCTAAAATATCAACAACAAATGAAAATATGGCCCAATGAATCTTCATCTACACTTTTCCATGAAACAGAAATCAGAAACGATCATAAAGAAGACACTCTTAACTATACAGGTAAGGTGAATATCATTTACAAAGCCAATAACGGGATTTTGCTCCGAAGATTTGGTTTCCATTGGTGATTCAATTTTGCTCATTTCTTTTGTTTCTGTTAAAAAGCATTCAGTATTCATTAATTAACGTATGTCAAAACATGCCTACGTTTTCTATTATACGAAACGTCAAATGATAATAGTAGAATTAAAATGACACCATCATCGGTTTTCAGCAAATAAGAGTGAGTTAACAACAAACCACTAATAAACGGATAGAGCTGAAATCTCTACTGCTAAGAGCCGTGACTTTCGACCTCAAAAACTGATGCACTGACCCAGCCATATCGGAACAGCGAGGATGGCGTTGCCGGTGAACCCTAGGTTGATGACTACATTTTGACAGGATTCCACATGCTTTGTATGTAGAAGCTAAGACTTCGTGAAAAGACGCTGACCCTCGTGCAAGTATATGCATTCTAAATTGATTCACACTTAGAACCTTCAATGGAAGGAGACTTGAAAAAGGCAGTTGATATGGAGCGCATGGTCCTGATAGGAGGCTCCAACCTACGTGTCAGAATCCACAACCAGATACGGACAGGCGTTATCGGCAAGAATGGAGACCCGAATATGAGCCACAGCGCTGAATAACCAGACTTCCAACGGGCTATTTTTAATGAATTATGCTTTCAGATATGTCAACCATGTCCGCAGAACTGTGTCTAGTGTCCTGATACTGTAGGGAAGCAACCACTAACACAGCAGGTCATAATTTAATCTTACCTATCACGGATGATGTTGAACATTTACGTGAAGGATAAGCGGAGCTGAAAACCGATCGTCATAAAACTGCACCATTCAGAATCTACGGCAACTCACAGGACGGGTGGACTGAAATCGAATCACCGGATAAAACAGGACTATTAAGGCGTACGGAAACCGTATGCGGATCATGCGCCAGCGAAGTTTAATAAGATACTCATCTCAGCCTTGGATGCTGAGACGACTGAGAGTTGCAGATCAGTCATAAATGGTGCGGTCTCATCAAGCTGTGCATTACAGGCATATAATGACTCCATGGGAAATAGCATTGCATGGCGCCTATATTAGTAGACCAAATAGTTCACCAGCGAAAGCTCTGGAAGTGCATGTGAAAGAATATACATGAAAAAATGATCAAGATAAACAACCTAATCTAGAAAAAAAATTCAACCAAAATAAGGGGTCCTGGAGTAGCTTTCAAGACTGGGAACTTTCGATGCCCCGTTTCATAAATGACATTAACAATAATGATACAGGACTTAAACAGCGAAAATGCACAGTGTAAAAAATATATTAGTTACTTATACTGATACTGCGGTAGTATCAGATGGAAATTTATTTATTGGACAGACAGATCTAATAACTTCCACGAGGTTGAAAGGAAGAGAGGATAGTCAGAAAGGAACAAAACTCAGTTTATGAAGAAGAAGGCTCGTAAAATTACTCCCTTAGACAAAAGGTCTGCCATCAGCAAGCGCAATATACAGAAGGCAATGATAAAAGAACTGAACACATGAGACTGCGGGCTGCAAGCTTTGTACAGTGATGCATTTCCGTTCCTCCTGGTTTTTTAGTGCTCCAGACAGGAAAGGCAGAGTTTACGTACGGTAAACCTGAGTGAGCTCTAGCTTTGGCCTTGACCTCGATTCCGGTATATGAACAGAAACAGACTACTCGTTTGAATTACGCACATAAGGGATGGGTTTCATCCGTC